ATGCACCATCTTGCATGGCTAATTTATTTTATTTTGTTCTTATTTTTGTAGAGAAGGTGTCTTCCTATGTTGCCCAGGCTGGTCTTGAATTCCTAGGTTCAAGCCATTCTCCTGCCTCTGCCTCCCAAAGTGCTGGGATTACAGACGTGAGCCACTCTGCCCAGCAATAGTTTTTTTTTTTTACTTTTGAGACAGAGTTTGGCTCTTGTTGCTCAGGCTGGAGTGCAACGGTGTGATCTCGGCTCACTGCAGTCTCCGCCTCCCAGGTTCAAGTGATTCTCCTGCCTCAGCCTCCTGAGTAGCTGGGACTACAGGCACATGCCACCATGCCCAGCTAATTTTTGCATTTGTAGTAGAGATGGGGTTTTACCATGTTAGCCAGGATAGTCTCAATCTCCTGACCTCATGATCCGCCTGCCTTGGTCTCCCAAAGTGCTGGGATTACAGGCATGAGCCACCACTCCCGGCCACCAAGAGTTATTTTTTTAAGTGCCTGTGCCTGTTATGTGTTATAAAAATGCTTTGCAGGAACAAATTGATTTAATCTTCATAGTAATGCTATGATCTAGGTACTGTTGTTCTCGTTTTTTAGATGAGGAAACTGAGGCACAGAGGGAAAGTAACAGCTAGTATGTGGCAGTGCTCCCAGCTACTATGCACACTGCCTCTCAGAGAATAACGTTTGTACTTGAAGTAGGGGGAACGAGGAGGTAATTTCTTTACAAAGAACAAGAAGGTGGTGTCCACAAACTATAGATGGGTGCTCTTAGCGTCAGTCCTCATCAAGTTTCAGAGTTAGTTATTAAAGAGGAGGCTTGAAGGCGCTTGGACAAGGAAGAGGTGGACGATCACATCAGTGAGTGAGTTCCCTAAGAACTCACTCTGCTAGGGGAAGCTTTTTGCTTTTCTGATTAGTTTTCTAGACTCAAAATTAGACAGGTGGTGGAGCAGGAGATTGTGGTTCTGAGTTTCAGCAAGCAATTGTTCTTTTTTCCTGTGGTCAGTCACAGCCTTGCAGATGACACAGAGCAACATGGGCTGGGGATGGCACAGCTGAGGAGGTTGGCGAGTGGACTGCCATCAGCTGAGTTCTGCTCAATGTGTTGAAAGGTGGTTTGGTGAGGGAGGATGTGGCCAGTGTGCTGGTGACGTTGCTGATGGCAGGAACCTGGAGCACATCAGATGGCAAGTGTGCAAGATGGCAGAACTGGGAACCAAAGTGCCCTGGAAGCTGAATTCCAGGTCCAAGTCTAGTAGATACTATACTATTCATTCATTGTTCATTCATTCATTCATTTTAGCAAGGTTCCTCACAGTAGACATTATTTATTATTTAATTAATTATTTGTTTTGAGAGGGAGTCTTGCTCTGTCACCAAGGCTGATGTGCAGTGGTATGATCTCAGCTCACTGCAACCCCCACCTCCAGGGTTCAAGCAATTCTCCTGCCTCAGCCTCCCTAGTAGCTGGGACTACAGGCACGTGCCACCATGCCTGGCTAATTTTTTGTATTTTTAGTAAAGACTGATTTCACTGTGTTAGCCAGGATCGTCTTGATCTCCTGACCTCATGATCTGCCTGCCTTGGCCTCCCAAAGTTTTGGGATTACAGGCGTGAGCCACCACACATGGCCTATTTATTCTGAGAGTTTCGCTCTTGTCACCCAGGCTGGAATGCAATGGTGCCATCTGGGCTTACTGCCACTTCCACCTCCAGGGTTCAAACAATTCTCCTGCCTCAGCCTCCTGAGTAGCTGGGATTACAGGCACCCACCACAATGCCCCGCTAATTTTTGTATTTTTAGTAGAGATGGGGTTTCACCAAGTTGGTCAGGCTGGTCTCAAACTCCTGACCTCAGGTGATCCACCCACTTTGGCCTCCCAAAGTGCTGGGATCACAGGTGTGAACCACCACGCCTGGCCGGCCGGCCAGCATGCCCGGCCACCACGTCAGCTCCCTGCTATCCTTTTTCTTTTTCCGACATGGTCTTGCTCTGTCACCCAGGTGGGAGTACAGTGGTGCGATCTTGGCTCACAGCAACCTCTGCCTCCCAGATTCAAGCAATTCTCCTGCCTCAGCCTCCCAAGTAGCTGGGATTACAGGCACATGCCACCATGCCCTGCTAAATTTTTTTTTTTTTTTTTTTTGTATTTTTGGTAGAGATGGGGATTTCCCCATGTTGGTCAGGCTGGTCCTGACCTCATGTCCCGCCCTCCTTGGCCTCACAAAATGCTGCGATTACAGGCATGAGCCACCGCACCTGGCCTCCCTGCTATCCTTTCTTTCTTCCATAACTATCCATTGTGATCCTGCTGTGGGTCAGGCTCTCAAGGAAAACCAGGATACTGCCTTCATGGGCCACACATCCTAGTGGGAGAGACAGATGGTAAACATATAAACACAGAGACAAGAAATTTTCCCAGTATGACCAATGTGCCAAAGAAACTCACAGGGCATTGAGCTAATGAGCAGCCAATGGGGGTGTGCGGATTCTGGAAGAGGTGGAAGACCTCCCAGGAGAGTGACAGTTGAGCGGAGTCCTGAAGGGCCTGGGGGCAAGAAGCTGCTGTTGATAGGTGTTGAGTGGGTGTTGGGAAGGGGGCACAGGGCACGGGGTGGAAGCATCCTTCTGTGGGGAACAGCAAGTGCGAGGCTGTTCTAGAAGCAGAAGGCCATTGTAGCCAGAGCAGAGTCATGACCAACAGGGTCTTGAGGCCACGACCCACAGACAGAAGCCAAGATTTCCGTGTTAGTAAGGGAATGGCTTTCTAGCACTTAGAGCTGCCTGAGGATGGCGTGGGTTGCCCGGAGGGAGAGAACTTCCCATCTCTGGAAATGTGCAAGCCATAGTCAAAGCCCCTCTCTGTGGAGGTTACGAGGGTGAGACTCAAGCATCCCAAAGGCTGGCTAGAGGACCCTTCATTCCTTCAACCCCTTCGCCTTCAGGAGCGTCCTTGGTTTGGGGAAGCAGGGGGGGATGTCTGTGCACGAAAGAAAGTTCCAGGCCGGGCACGGTGGCTCACGCCTGTCATCACAGCACTTTGGGAGGCCGAGGCCGGCGGATCACCTGAGGTCAGGAGTTCGAGACCAGCCTGGCCAACATGGCGAAACCCCGTTTCTACTAAAAATACAAAAATTATCACGCCTGTAGTCCCAGCTACTCGGAAGGCTGAGGCAGGAGACTCGCTTGAACCCAGGAGGCGGAGGTTGCAGTGAGCTGAGATCGCGCCACCGCACTCCAGCCTGGGCAACAGAGCGAGACTCTGTCTCAAAAAGATCCAGC